ATGGTCATAACGAAAAAGACACTGCCCTACTCAACTTCTTTATAAAGGAAAGTTGGGGCATGCAGACTGCTATCCACCTTGCTTGCTGGAACTTGGGGACCTAATATTAAGCTCAATACAGGGTGAATGTTCTTGTGCATGAAATGCCACATCATAAAAGATATTTTTTATGAATACATAATAAAAGTAAGTATGTTGTGAAATTCATGAGCTGCATACCTGACATTTCTTTGAAACTGACCCAATTTTTTCCAGAATTATTTTGCTCTCATATAGTTTCCTTGAGGAGATGAGACACAGAGTGGAGGTGGAGAAGTTATATGTACAGAGCAGGAAAGATATCTCCACTTATGACCTGATTAAGGACCATGAGAAGATGGATAAAGGAAAATAGTCAAATACTTAACAAGGTGGAAATAGGTATAACAAAGAACAGATGGGCTCAAATTTTCTGTGAAAATCTATTCTAAGGAAGATTAGATAAGGAGAACTGAGAACTTGGGGATGAAGCTCTCACATAGCTTCTGTATTGTGAGGTTAATAGTGAGTATTTCAATAAGGAAGGAAACATTGAAGTTATCTTGCAGTGGCTAAAAGTGAAAAATGGCGGAGATTAGCACAGGATCTAGAATGTCTTCTGTCTATTCACCTATTCATTCTATTTTTAAAATATAATATTTTTTAATATATAATAATGTGTTAGGGCACACATCTAGAGTTGAAGGTCTGGGGACCTAGAGACATTGAAAAACAGAGAGAGCTAAGATATTGATGATACCATACCTGAGAAGGTTTCTTTCAGGCTGGAAGGCAAATTCATTGTGGTAAACATAAGAAGTATCTCATCATATGAAATGAGATATGTATGAAATGAAGACTGAAGCCTGAGTAAAATACATTGATAGATTGAGTGTTATTGTCAGGGCAAAGGACAGGAAAATTAGGTTTAGGATATGGAAGAAATGAAAGAATCCAAAGTTGTGGTCTGAGTTGGAGAACAGAATATTAGAGATCTCAGAAACAGAGAATTCAAAACCACCAAATTTATTGATAATTTGTCCAATAAAAAGTAAAAATATATGACAATGAAATGCAGGACAGCAGTGAATCATTAGATAGGTGAATCTGAGGGATCATTGGGCAAGTCACTTGACCTTGTTTGCCTCAGTTTCCTCATCTGTAAAATGAGATGGAAAGGAAATGGCAAACCACTCTAGTATCTTTGCCAAGAAAACTCCAACTGGGGTCATGAAGAGCTGGACACAACTGAAAAACAACTGAACAACATATGTGTGTGCATCTATGTATTGTTTACCATTACAGAAAAGCATTTACATACTTTGTGATATTTTACTTTATGTTTGCTATAGCAAATTCAAGAGTAAACACTGTAGTCTATGTTATATTGTCTTTTAATTTCTGTTTTGTGCTTTTTTGTTCATATCTAAACTTTCTTTTTTTTTTCTTTTTGAATTAGAATCTCCCATGTTTGAGGTTGAAAAAAAGCCAAATTTATTTTGGAAGAGCTTAAGGAAAACTATTCAAATGGTTATGACCTAGGCAAGAGTAAAAACAAATTACATTTTACTAGCTGAAGGTCAATTTAAGTAACCTAAAACATGGTTGAACTTTAAAAGTAAGACTTTCCACTTGTCTAACCTGTATTACATAAGGTCATAAAGAGAAATTTCCAAAGCAAATCTGCTCTGAAACCGCAGTAAAAGAAAGACATTTAGATAGATAGATGGATAGATAGACAGATGATAGATAAATAGATAGATAGATAGATAGATAGATAGATAGATAGATAGATAGATAGATAGATTGAACGAACTAGTACTATGCTAAATATAAGGGACACAAATACAGCAAGCAATACAGTTCCTGTCTCCAAAAAGGTTACATTCTTTAAAAAAATACATATATATTTATACACATGTATATGTTGATATATATACATAGACACACATGAACACACACACACACAAGATTGGAAAAAGAATGAAGTAAAACAAAAGAAGATATCCTGCATATTGACTAGATCTTCTATGGAGGATTTATGGAAAAATATAGCCAAAAGAGCAAGGAATGAGAAACCATGGAATATTATGATCTTTACCACTGGAAGGAGTACCACACCATCACAATTATAGCTCCACTGATATTTTCAGTATTATAGGTGTTTTAATTTCATTGCCTCACTTAATTTTCACAACAGCCCTTTGAGTTAGTTCTACAGCTATTCTCATCCCCATTTTAAAAAAGAGGAAACTGAAAATGGGAGAGTGATTGAGAGTTGTTCAGTCATTTCAGTTATGTCTGACTCTCACAACTCTAGAGTTTTCTTATAAAAGAACTGGAGTGGTGTTCCATTTCCTTCTCCAGCTCCTTTTACAGAGGAGGAAACTGAGGCATACAGGGTTAAGTGACATGCCCAGGGTCACACACAGCTAGTGTCTGAGGTCACATTTGAACTCAGGTCTTCCTGACTCCTGGCCTGGCACTCTATCCACTGTGCCACCTACAACCATAGAAATTCAGAGACCTAAAATAATCAAAGTATGGTTCTTGGAGAAAGGTAAGATTGGATCTGAACCTTAGAGAATGGATACTTAATAGAGAGAAAGCAAGTCAATCCATTCCATGGGACTACATAAACAAAGACTGAGAATGAGTATGATTTATATGAGGAAGTGAGGAGGTTGGCCTTAGGAAAGTAGTGATGAGTGGCAGAATGAATTAAAAGGGGAGGTGCCTGCAGCCCAGTTGAGACTATTACAGTTTTCTTAGGTATGTGATACAGGTCTCCACGATGCTGATGGCTATTGGAATGGAGAAGAAAGGGATATTTAGAAATAAGAAACAATAATACTTGGTGACTTTGAATAAAGGAGACAGAAGGTGAGGAAAGATGAAAAGGTAATTGCAAAATTTCTAGAGTGGGAGATTAGAATTTTTTGGCTGCACAAATAGATCCCTAGTGTATGTAGGTTGGTATGTTGTTAACTATTATATTTCTCAAAATAAATGTTTATATTTTCAGAGTATTTCTATCATAATAGGTTTGAACAACTATCTGAGAACCAAATGGATTTCTATGCATGCACTTGAAAAGCACTGGACAAAATTTAGTCCAGCTATTTATTTTCTTGTCTTAATGTTGATATGAAAATCTTTTTTTCTTTTTCATTTCCCAATTTCATGCAATTAAGTTAGTGAAATTAAGTTAAGATTAGGATTATAGGAGCATAGATTTAAACCTTGGACAGAAGATTATCTAGTCAAACACCCTCATTTTATAGATAAGAAAATTTAAGGGCAGAGAGTTGAAATAACTTTGCCCAATCACAGTAATAGAGTAGGGATTTGAACCCAGGTCCTTTGAGTCTAAATTTAGTATTCTTTCCAATATGTATAGTTCCTTTCTTAACTTTAATTGCTTCTAATATTGTTACTATGTGTGTCAATAATTTTAAGTTTATTTAAATTATTAAATATATAAGCTTTCTCCCCCTAGAAATGCCCAAGAAAATAGCATTTATTTATTTTACTTTGGTGAGATAGATATTACCATATGAGTGTGTAAAATCAGTCACTAATGCAAAGTCATTCTGAAGTGACCCCATGTTTTAACCTTGCTTGATTTTGGCTATGTGCAGCCAGCCTGCATAGGAAGGAATGTGCTCTGTATCTCTTTAGCGCTAATCCCATCTCCTCATAATGAGGATATAGTAACAGCTGCCAAGCTCACTAACCCTGTCTCCTTATTTGAAACCTGAGTCAATCAAAATACTTAGGGAGGAGCTGAGGCAGCACTAATCCCACCTCCTCATGATTACATGATCCAATCAAAATACCTTTGCCCATAAATGGAAGATGCTTACTCCTGTCTATTTAAAAAAAAAAAAAGGCAATTCGCCCAATTGGGTGGGTCCACCTAGGCATGCTGCTTTGGTGTATTAATAAACTACTTTTTACCTTTTTCTTCCTGAGTTTTGCCTCTTTAATTAGGGTGAAAGCCAGGACATGGAATTTTCCTTTTAACACATATGTAAATTTATCGAGTAAGCAAAATCACATCTGAAAAAAATATTAATGTTGCCTTTCCACCATTGTCTCTTACTATTGTGTTTTTTGAATGATTAATTCTATAGCACACTCATTTATTAGTAGAAAACTGGGCCTCCTTCAAGTGGTCTGACATTGAAAAGAAAACGTGGCTATACTGGCTGGAGGACCAAGGATATTAAATTGTGTTTTGTTCATTTTTAATGTCATTGTATTGTAGCTTCAGCATTCACTATTTGTATAAATAAAAATTTTGTACAGATTTCCATAAAAAGTTATTTTTTAAAGGAATCAACACCTGTTTCTTGTTTCCTTAGACACTTTTGCAAAGAACTTCTCTGAAATATGGAAGATGTCAATTGCATTATTTGCAACATTTTGTTTTAATTTGAATTGACTTTAAGCTATTAAAAATCTGTCTTTGAGAGAGACTATGGAGAAGTGGATGTTTGACTCAGGAGAATATACAGCATTCAGGAGAAAAGCTTTTTTTTTGTTAAAAATGCAGTGTGAATCTTGGTGGGATTTAGTTTGTTAATGTTAAAGTCGGTTTAGTTAAGTTCATATTCTAGATAAGACTGAATTTGCTGTTCAGCTGCTGTGATTTTATCAAGGTTGTAAGGGCTGTGTGTATGTGTGTGTGTTTTTTAAAGTGCAGACCTCTGATCACAGTGCACCCCCACCCATTTCCCTAAATACATCATGAAAAAAGGATGAGGTTTCCGCCTTAATTGCTTGTGCCTTTTATTCACATTCCTCTCTCAGCCAGAATTGTGAAAAGAGTGTTAGTAAAAGGCTGCACAATAGAGCTTTTCATTAGGCTTCGGCAAGGCACACAAAAGAAGGCTTTTGGAAAGAGTGAATGCAGGAGTTTAATTTGCAGGTGGAGAGTAGATAAAAGGTGCTGACGCCTCTATTATTCTCTTACTTAGGTGACCCTTACCCTGTTCAGCTGATCCCAACTACCATGGCAGCTGCTGCCGGGGCAACCCCAGGCTTAGGCCCACTCCAACTGCAGGTAAGTCTGGAAACAATGTGGAAGAGGCAAAGGTTAAGTAAACATGGAAAACAGCTTTCTTGTCTATTATCACATTATAGAAAAAAAAAATCGGGTAGTGATTTGGTATGGCACATTAAAAAAAAAAAATTACCTGTATCAGTCGACAGCAAAAGCTTAAGAGATGTCTCATTTTATTTGTTTAACCCTAATGCTATCTACCAAAAGTTGCATTGTTGTTAGTTCTAGATGGTTTAATGCTATTTTTAACCTGAATGACCAATAAGTCTGTTTTAGTTATTAATTTATGTCATTTTCATATAAGGTTTACATCCAATAGAATATAAAGCCCTCAAGCGCAAATATTGTTGTTTTTGTGTATTGTGAGTGCCTAGTTTGGTGTATTAATCAGGTCATTTTAGCCATCACTAGTTTTCTAAGGTAGAAAGCAGAAAGTGTAATAAAGTTTACCTGTGACCTGACCACTTGTCCTAGGAAAGAGCTTCACATTAACTCTGGGCCAAATTCTCAAAGGCTTTCTTTCTTGTCTAGAACAGTTTGGGTTGAGATAGATGTTGCCCTCCTCTTATCCATTTAGAAAATCCATTTCATTTTCCAGGCCTCTGAGTAAATCTGTATATCCTCAGTTAACAGCTGACAAATTTGAAGAATTACCTCGATAGTGATTTGGGATATCTATACATAGGTAGTAGAGAGGAATTTTTTGAAGGATACTATTTAAGCCCAGTAAATTCTATTCTTTCTACCTTGACAAAGCCCATGTGAGACAGTTGGGGTGAGAGGAGAAAAAAAAATCACTGAGCTCCCTATGGGACTGACTCCCTGGGGGTTCTGGAGCAATTACTTCTATTAACTGAAATAATCTGAAGTGGTTTATGTTTTAACTTCTTGATGCCAAGGTGGGTTAAGGGAGTGGATGTTAGGAGGATAAATACTGACTGGGCAATTCAGATCTGATAATATGATCAGAGAGAATGTGTGTAAACCACAAAAACAGAAGTCAAAAGCAAAAGAAAACCCTGAGTGTCACAGGGGTTTGTGTTTTCATTTCAGTGGATTAGGGAAAATTCTCTGTGTGGGTTGAGTACCAAGTAAAATCAAGCCCTGCTGTGTTTTAGGAATCATAAGTAGACTTACAACCTTCCACCTCCATCCCCATCCCCTGAGCCCAGTGCCTGGCATGTGGTCTGATCCAACACAGATCCCAAATACTGAGACCTGGCCCAAGTCCTGAGGCAGTAGCCTCTAGAAGCCAGTTTATAAGCTTAATTTGGCATGCAGAGTGAACTGTCCAGGTGTGGCTGAGCAATAAGTTTTCTCTCTACCTGACAATCTCTTTTCCCTTACAGTTGGTGAGCCCACTGCCTTCAACACTCATTTCAGTCAGAATAATAACTAGGAATTCTGGCATCGGTGGCTAATTCAGTTAATTATGTGCATGTGTGTGATGGAGGAGTAGAGAGGTCCTAGTTGCCTGGAGAAACATCTCATAAGGAATGAACAGGCTCAAGAATTAGGAGGCCAGGGTATTTAAAGGTTTGGGTTCAAGAGAATTATTGTGGGTCAGATATTGAACTTACTGAGAAGAAGACAGTCAGTGAAAATTCATGTAGTCAGAAGAGGGAGTTTGAAGAAAAACAAGGAGCCCAGTTTCTTTGGATTGCAGAGTATGGGGAGGAGGAAAGAGGAAGGTGTAAGGAGACTGGAAAGGTAGGAGGGAGTTTGATTATGAAAGCCTCTGAATGCCAAACAGAGCATTATATGTTTGATCCTAGAAGTTATAGGGAGCTGCTGGAGTTTACTGAATGAAGGAAGTGAGGTGATATGGCAAGACCTGTACTTTAGGAATATCACATCATTTTGACATCTGAGTGGAGGATGGTACATAAGTCCTCAAACCACAACAAAGTGGAATCATTACCCCTTTCTTCCTTAGAGGAAATCTTCCTCTCTCCCAGGTAGATTCAGCACCTATAGCAGAGCCCCACCCTAATGAGAACTCTGTTCTCAACTGCTACCCTGGTGTCTTTATAACATGGTCTTTATAACAAGCTGTTTGGGAGAGAAAGGAGGCATTACTGGATCCAATCAGAAAAGAGAGGAATATGTAAAACAATTCCAACAATAGGGGATCCATGCCCTTTTTCTGAGCCCCATTTCTGATCACTCTTGGAGCAAATGACACACTCCCAACTAGGTGCTGTCATTGGGCAACCTAGATGACAGAACGTAGCATCTATAGAATGGTTTACTCTCCCTTAAATAATGGATGTTTAATAGATGCTTACTGTTTATTGAAAACAAAATGGGAAAAATAACAGTTGATATCTAAGCAAATAAAGAGGGAATAATATAAATTGGATTTAAAACTGTCCAATGATTCATATGTATTATAGCAAAGGATTAAATTGGAATAAATCATTCATACATAAGCAGGTAGAGCAGATAAGTAAACTACTAGCATTTGAGAATTCATACTGTTTGAATTAATATTTATTAACAAATGCACAAGGTGATATACTTTAATAGAACATGCTATTGATTCTCAGGAAATATATGTGGTTCATACTAAAATGGTAATATTTAGGTCACAGAATTGCCATAAGACTTAAACTGTATAAAACTTGCTTGTGTTAAAGCAGTATAGAAATATATTATTGTTGTTGTTGTTGTTATTCTAATAGCAAAAATTTCCCTGATATATAGTTTAAGGAAAATTTTTTTTTTAAAACATGCCATCAGATCATCATGTGGGAACTGATTGTATAAAATAGGGAGGATTCCAGCAAAATGAACAAGGAACAATTTCATAATTTTTTTTAAGGCTAATTTTCTGAAGACTTAAAGGTGGTTGGTTCAAAGTAGTATGTTTTTTTTTTTAGAATTTTCTTCCATTCTCTGTCAAGTAAAACCCTTTGCCCCATTAATGACACTGTAGGCTAGTGAGCAAGTATGGAGAAGTAGTTGCCAAAATGTGTGGTATAGTGAAAAGGGCCCTGAGGTTTCACCTCAGTTCTAGGGCCAACTCTGCCCTAGCTACCTGAGTGACACTGATTAAGTCACTTCCCTTCCTTTACAAATCATAGTTCAATTCAGTTTCTAAACAATTTTCTATGATGCATTTTAACTTTTAGATCCAAAAACACCATCTCCATACCAAACTTGACAAATAAAGATAAAATGATAATGTTTCTGGTCTTTTATATATACATTCTACTTCACATTTCTTGTATAGTATAGTATTATATATTTCTGTTTGTGCTACATTTCTTTTTTTTTCTTTCTTTCTTTTTTTTTTTTTTGGTTATGCAATGGGGTTAAGTGACTTGCCCAGGGTCACACAGCTAGTAAGGGTTATGTGTCTGAGACCAGATTTGAACTCAGGTTCTCCTGAATCCAGGGTCGATGCTCTATCTACTGCACCACCTAGCTGCCCCTTTGTGCTACATTTCTTGCTGGATTGTAAGTCACATAAAGACTGGGACCAGCTTTAAATGCCTATACACACACACACACACACTTTTTTCTTTTTTTTTTTTAATTCTAGCTTTGTTACACAATTAGTGTCAGAAATCAATGAGTACAGGCCATCTGGTTCAAATAATTTCTGAACAAGTATTGAGAGGGATGGAAATGAAGGTCAGACAGTTGTGGGGTTTGTTCTTCAAGAGTTTAGAGTTCAGTGTAACATGGCTGAAGATGAGAGGAGGGGGCAGGACAATGCTAACCACTGGGGAATGAATCCAGGCAAAGTAACAGGCCTGCTGATGAAGGCAGGTCATTAGAAAGTTGAATGGCAACTTTCTAGGTATCAACATGACCCTCAACTGCTAGATGTGCCTTGTTGTTGTGACATAGAAGGACCTCGAAGCCTGCTTGATTTCAGGCACAAGTAGAAGGTGGTATATTTCTGGTCAGGTGGTTACTGTATTCCTTGCACAACTGAGATAAGCCTGATGACATTGTGGCCTTCAGCATTGGGAAGTGTTGTGTCCCAACCCTCCTTATCAGTGTTGTGCCCTCTACTTGTGGGTCCAGGAAGACTAGCTAGGAAGTAGGAAGTCATTTGTCTCAAGCCAACTTCACCAGCTGAGAGCACAACTGGGTTGGTTTGTGTCCTCAGGGAACCAGAAGCCTAGCTCGTGGCCTTCCTTGCGAGCCGTGAACAAGACAAATTTTGATAAAGGCTCATCACACTTCCCCTTGCTTTGCTAAATGCTCCCACATTGGTAACTTTCCCATCTCCCTCCTGTTTTTCAGTTCCTTTTTACATGTTGTCTTCCCCCTTTAGAATGTAAGCTCCTTGAGGACAGTGACTATCTTTCTTTTGCTTGTATGTGTATTTTGCTTAATAAATGCTTATTGATTTGACTTGACTCTCAGTAGTAACTAAAGTTTGCATGAGCAATTTTGGGCTGCTACTTTATGCTATTGACTCATTGATCTTGATGAACAGTAAAACTCCACATCTTTTTTTTTCCCCAAACAAAATTCTGTCTAACCATACTTATCCTATCCTATAGATGTATAGAATTGAGCTTTTGCATTCATGAGGACAACTTTAAATTTCTTTGTATTGACTCCTCCATATTAAATTTTCATTGAATTTCATCATTTATCCCAATAATGTAGTCTTTTGGATCCTGTCTCTATTATCCAACACACACACACACACACACACACACACCGGCTTTGTGTCACCTGCAATTTTGATCTATGCTATTACCCAAGTCACTGATAAAAAATATGAAATAGCACAGGCCTAAACACAGATCCCTGACAGATTTCTCCCTTCAAGTTGACATCAAACTATTAATAACTCTTCTTGAAGTTTGGTCATTCAACATGTTTTGCATCTGCCTGATCACTGTCATCTGTCCCATGTTTCTGTACTTTATCCACAAGAATATTATAAAAGACATTGTCAAATGATTTAGTAAAATCTAGGTAACTATAACATTTATTTCCATTCTATCTTGTCTTTGAAAATCTGCAGTTAT